TCCTGCTGATACAATAATCCTGTGCAACCCAAAAGTTTGCCAGAATGATGTCAAAGAGACCAAAGCAATTTGAACTCTTATGCTGTTTTCTATTTAATCAGTAGAGCAGTTATCCTCAAAGAGCACAAGACCAGTGCTGGAGTAACATGTTCACTGTTAACTGTTTGTGACAGAACTGCCAGTAATTGTCTAGCTAGTTGCATTTGGGCTGGCATGTCTGTCAGCTGACTTGTCAAATACTGTCAGTTGACTGCCTGTTACTTGACCATGGTCAAATATTGTCAGATGTGATGTCAGGACTTGACATGCTACTGTACAGACATCAGCATAGCTTTTAAATTTATTTTAGTATAATTTATTAGCAAGGGTAGGGGTGAGGGCAGATTTTCCTGCAGCTGGAAGGGGGAAACTTAGCAATATAGCACAACTTCCCTTACTTCCCACCTACTGCTTCCAAACAGGAAGAACTGGCCTTCTACAACTGACTGCTTTCTAAATAGCTGCTTCTATTTTGGTCTTATTCCATGTTTAAAAAAAAATGTTTTAAATTTAAAATTGAACCTGTAGAACAATTCTGGTATTCCAGAATGAAAGCTGGCAAGAAGAATTGTTCACCTTCCCTGTTAATTCAAGTCCACCTTCTTCAAAAGTTAATTTCATTTGCATAATAGTTGTTTAAGGAGTCCATGTAAAGCTTAAATTTAAAATTTGTTTGTGACTAAAATATCTTTTTATTGTTCTAATCAAATTAGTGCTTTTAAAAATACTTGACCAGCATTGACTGCAAAATTTTTGAACTGGAGATGTCAGGAATTAAACCTGGGACCTCCAAAGAAATGATCTGCCATTGAGCTGCAAACCCTCCCCTAGTAATATTTTCCCTCCTTAATATTCTGGGGAAGCTTGTTCTTAAATTTATATATTTGTAATTCCCCATCAGGCCTCGTCTTCTCAGAGTTTTGGAAACTTGCTTCAAATGGTCTATCAGGAGCCTTATCGATGGTCCTACACATTCCAGACTTACTCATGTTTGAGTCGGCTCAAAGCACAGCTGCAGCCACTGCCAGTGAAGCCCCAGGAATTTGTGCAGATTTTTGAGAGATCTGTGTACAGTGACAGGTATGGTACCTGTATTCTGTTCCTTATCCCTGTTGGCTGCAGTGCAGCATATAATGTTTTGCATCTAATTCAATAGATTTGGAGTGTGATTCTCCTATTTATTAACAATATAGAAGGAGAAATTATGCTGTCCACCTATAAAAAGCAAACTCTGTGCATGTAGAGAATCATATTATTCCAGTATTGTTTAAAACATCTGCCTTTTCACAAATATGCATCCTTTCTGTTGGCTGGTCTTTTAGATTGAGTCGTTTTTCCCAAAAGAGCTGCAGCTCATATTTTCTTATACCATCCCATGAGAGGTAGTACAGAAGCTAATTTCCACATTATTGCTGCTGACATAGGCCTCATGTCATCCCTAAGAGCAATTGTTTAAAGTAGCCTCAAAGCCCTGATTCATGATCTAGTGGGATGTCATATTCCATTGTGTCTCTGACAGCGTTCCAAATTTGTTTCCAAAAGTACTTTGTTAATCAACAGTTTAAAAATAAATAAGATCTGTGAGTAATGCTTGACAGCGCCAGCAGCCCACATGAATCTGTTTATATAGGTGCTTCAAACCGAGGGAGGTAAGCATCAAATAATATAATTTTTAAGCCTCTTGTCTTGTTCACATTGTTTATAAAATTCCTTGACACATTAATTCTTCCTTGCCTGATAGAACAGGGGAATCAATACCATTCTTCCATTGCTCTGTAATTTTGTTTTAAAAGCTGATAATTTTTTCCACAATTCCTGTCAAACCAAACAATACTGTAAGCAGTTCCAGTTCAAACTTACTATGTATCAACATATCCTTGGCTCCGATCATACACACAACTAGACCCACCATAGGCACGAATGCCGGGCAGATTGAAAGGGTGCGATCAGACATCATCTGGGAAGCGCCCCGCAGCCGTCGACAACCCGTTCTGCTCCGCCACAGAAGCAGAGTTAAAAGACACTGGGGGAAATCCGGTAGTAAACGGGTTGCAACGGGCCACGGACGGACTTTCCCCTGTCTGATCGCTCCAACACACTCTCATGGCGTCGGGATGGTCTGATCAGGCCATCCCAACTCCATGCCATTGTTTTCCCCGCCTTCTCGGTATGTGCATCATTCCAAACTCCATAGGGAGCCCTCAGTGCGGAAATGCGATTCATCAAGTCCTCTTTTAAGCGCATCAGAAACAAACGGCAAACCCCCCCCGACTCTCCCATGGTTGCTTCTGATCACGCAGTGGCAAGTTGTGCCTGCAGCTTCCAAGGACTGTGTGATCATGCAACTGCAGGTCAAATTCCTCCGGAGGAAATAGCCTTGCTTTCCCCCATTATTATTTTTTTGGCACTTGTGACCGCAACCCTTAAGTAGCAATGAATGGATTCTGTTTCTCAATTGAAAATATTAAAGGCAGATTGAGATGACAGTGTGTCAACTATCAGTTCATAAACTATGACTATCATGAGCAACCTGTTTAAAGAGAATATAAAGACTATATAAATATTAAAGATGCATGTATCATAAAAAAATACCGTCTAGCTCCTTGCGTTGTTCTCTTTGCATATTAGTGCCCCACCTTAATGTGCAGAGGGCAGTACAATTTTTTTTCTCTTACTGTCATATTTCATTATTTTAATGACGTGCAGCTTATTAGCAAGGCAGCTAAGGCTGATGAACCAATAGCAAGCAAATGTTTGCTAAGGGCCTTCTATCTCTGACTGCGGCCTTTTCAAAGATCTGCAGATGAGCCCAGCTAGCAGGCAGTTTCCAAATTTCCTTCCCCCATGATAGCTGGCCGTACTGGTATGCTGCTGTAGAGTGCACTCTTAGTAATGCAGGGGAGTGGAGAGGACCGGGAGGCATGGCTTGCATCCTAGAAACTGCCACTGAAGCTTCTGAGATCCATGGAGGGGTTCTTCAGCTTCAGATGCATGGAAAAGCATCTCTTTAGATAAAAAGTTTCAAAACTGCCAACTTAGTTTTCACTGAGTGGGACAGGGCTCAGAGGGGAAAGTTCAAAGTCCTACTGTACTGAGGCAGCACTTTCCCCCCTCTCCCCTCTTGTATTTGGTGTGTGTGGGGGGGTGATGAAGATGGAAAGAGAGAAGGGCAGGCTTATAACTTAAAGATGTGAATTCCATATTTCAGCTTGTGATTGGAGATGGCTCCTGGGTCTGAAAATGTGTTTGAAGGTTCCTTCTTAAGTAAGACTAGTGGGAAGCTGGGGGGTGTCTGATTTTTACATCATACAGATTCTAGTAATTTGGTGCTAAGAATTTAAATGTGATTTGGTGCTAAGAATTTAAATGTGATTTGATGTCCAATCTTTTTGTTCTGTCAAACTGGTAGGATATTACTTTGAGGAAACTTAATTTGGTTGTCCATCTCTTTTCTCCACCCATCCCAGGTATGTCTTTGCAAAGAATTTGTTTGAGATTGGCCATTTGACAGAGATTGAGTGGATAATTTACCAAGACTGGCACACCTTCCTCCTTCAAGCATTTGGGAACCGAGTTGCACTTGATGGCTTCCTTTATCTCCGGGCGTCTCCTGAGGTAATCATGAAAAAGCACCCAGAGACTCGTCTGCATGTGTAATGACTGCATTAGTGGGTCACTTTTTTCCTTGAGGGAGGTAATAAAAGTAATACAAACTGCTCTGTATTCTCTATTAGTACACAGAGAAGTCTTTCCATATTTTTTTAAAAGAACGTTTATATCACTTTTCTCTTGCTCAGTGAGACTCAAAGGCACTTGCACCAAATTAAGCATAAATACTGTCTAAATTCTAAAAAAAAGCAGGTAAAAGGAGGAGATCAGAATTTCACTCACAGACTGTCAAAAGCATGTCAGAAAAACTCTTTACAGAGCCACTGAAATCTCTGCAATGTTGGGGCCTTGCGCGCATGCTCAGGGAGTTGTATCCTGTGATCTGTCAGTGGAAAGTAGGGAGGGAGAACGGGACAAAAATCACCCTTCTTGCCTCTTCTGTAAGTGGAGATGTGCTGGCTGAAGGAGGAGGAGAGGAAGACTTCCCACTCTTCAGTACAAACCTAAACTGTCTGGACTGTTGATCCACTTCAGTCCCTTGACCCCAGGATCAAACTTCCTGGTGTCAACGAGGCTGCTGAGGGGAGCAGGGTATGGGAAAGATAGCTGATCCTTGGAATCCCATATGTTCTCTCTCATGAACTGCCACCTTCTCTGTCTGCTCCATCTCCACTGCTCCTAGACTGCTTCTGTTTTAAGGCTAGTTCAGACAATCCTTCCGATAGCCTGAAAACGTCTTCCATAGAGTTTTCTGCTTCAGCTCTTGCTGCTGCTTAATCTCGTTCTCTGTGCATCTCTGATATCCTGGTTCAGATGCATAGAAAGAACCTGAGGGTAAGGAAATGATAATACACTGAAAGTCACCATTCTGTTTCTGTTGAGACCGTAAGGTGTGGTAAAAGGCTGGAGTGTCATGCAGCAGTGAGCTGGCTGGACCGAACTGAAAAGCGCCATTTGACAGGTGTTAGAGTCAATCTGTCCCCTTATCTCTCTGCCACAAGCCAAACTTACCTATTGCTCATCACCTCCCAAATGGTCTCATTCGACTGGCATTGCGATGCGAATCAGTATGGACTAGGCTTTGGGGCCTCTTGGCTGAGACGTCAGGCTTTTCTGTGGGGTCTTATGCTCTGGGACCAGCAAGTTCACGTTTTGAAACGTCTGTTTCAGTGAAAGGTTTGTCTAGTTTATGACTACCACCACTTGATTTAGGCATGCTGAACCAGATTTGTCCTTTTCCCTGCCATTTAAAATAATTCCCAAACTGTGTTTTACAAGAAATATATTATATGAAGGTTCTTATGAACTCACATTATCCATGCACAAAGGAGCCTGCCAACTGCATGGCTTGTTCTGGCCTTGCCTCTCGTGGGCCAGCTTCTTCTGGAGGTTGATAACATTGTGATCTGTCTGCATCAGGTGTGATTTTGTCATTCAGTTATTTTCCCCCAGAGTTGAAGACAGTTTTATTTAGGAGTGCATTTGACTAATTTATTCGTTTTTTTTTATTGGCAATCCTAATTGAGATTTTAAATTGTGGTCTCTCATGTGTTTTTCGGTATTTGTTGCTTTATTTATACTGTAAGCAGCCTTGAGTTCTGCAAGGTAGAAAGGCAGCTAATACATGTTTTGAGTAAAATAAAACGATCTTTATTTGTAGCTTCACAAGTGAAGTGTGCCTCTGCTCTCGGTGGGGACTGCTGACTTCAAGGCACTGATGGGCTGGTCAGCAAGCATTCCCTCTTCTCCTTTCAGGTATGTCTAGAGAGGCTGCGCCAAAGAGCGAGGCCTGAAGAGAAAGAGGTCCAGCTGCGCTATCTAGAGCAGCTTCACTCCCAGCATGAAAACTGGCTTCAGACAAGAAGCACAGAGTGAGTAGAAGAATCTAGCTGGTGGCAGCCCATGTAGTCAGGGCTATTTTTGGGCAGGAACGCACAGGAATGGAGTTCCGGCTGGCTCCCAAGTTGGCCACGCCCAGCAGGAACTCATTAGCATAATAGGCCACACCCAACAGCAGAAACTCATTAGGATTGGCTACATTAGGGGTGTGTGGCCTAACATGCAAAGGAGTTCCTGCTACAAAAAAAGGCCCTGGGTTTTGACAACAAACAAGGTAAACAGAATAACAAGCAAAAGGTGGGTGTGGCTGGGTGCGGCCTAATGTGCTAATGAGCTGTGTTGTCAGGGGTGTGGCCCAATATGCTAATGAGTTCCTGCTTTTGGGTGTGGCCTATTATGCTAATGAGTTCCTGCTGGGCTTTTTCTACAAAAAGAGCCCTGCATGTAGTTATGATTGCACCAACTACTTCACTTGTATGAAAACGCCAGAGGTGCAAAATTGTGCCTTATCCTCATCTACTATTGCATGTTTTGTAGTACTAAGTGGCAGCTCGGTGCTCCAGCTCTGTCCACTCTGGCCTTTTCTGTCATGAGGTTTCACAATATACATGGGCAGATCTCACTGCAAAGTGACAGTCACTTAAACTGCTATTATTTGTCAGCATCTGCCGGTGCATCTGCTATGCAAAACTGAATCTTTAGGCAGGCTGCAAAAATATGATATTTGCAGGCCACAAGAGCTACGAGAAATTCACTTCTGCCTCTCTGCTCGCTCCTCTGGCAACACCCCTAAATCAAAAAACCACTATTGTCTAGTAATTAGTGTCAGATTATGAATGGGATGAGGGGGAAACCTGGATTAAAATCCCTGGTCAGATCATTGTGCGACCTTGGGCTCCTGGCACTCTTCCTCAGCCTCTCCTACTACACAGTGTTGCTGTAAGAGAACATAAATGTAGGAGGGGAGAACCATAGATGTTGCTCAGATTAGAAGTGGACAGATTTTCAACTGCATTTCTAGCCTACCTTCCTTGTTGAGACTTGAGGCAAAATCTTAAAACAATTCGATCAGACAGCAAGGATCTCCAGTAAAAATGCAGTAGGATGCAAACTTCTCAAAAACCAAACTGTTTAAGGCATGACAATGCCATAATGCAGAAAGTAGGTTGCAAAGGTGCAAGGCGATGTGCGAGAAAAGGAAGGCAATACATGCAGTAAACATGGCAAGAGGCTACAGTCCTCTCCCCTTATAAAACACCCTCATGATATGATCCATTATACTACATTTCTAATCCCTTTGTACAGATGCCCTCCTGAACCTTTTGCACATTCTGCAAAATGATGCGCCGGGGGGAGGGGGGGAGGCCTTTTGACCTCTTCAGTCAGACTGTTCCACGAGGTGGGAACCACCGTGGAGAATCTTATTCATCAGCCATTGTTAGTGGGCTCTGAGTGATTCCAGCGTCGGGCCATCCTACCTGCATTTGTTGTATGTTGAATCTGTCCAGTGATTGCTCTCACTTCTCATGCTTTATTCCAAATGTATTTGAAATGTTTCCCAACTTTTGGGAATGTTTGGGTGGTGGGAAGAGAGACTTGACCAATAATAACAGCAGTAAGAGGCTGTTGGTCATGGGAGGGTGACAGAAGGACAACTGGAAGAATAGATGGGCTGTGGCAGCTGCACATTCTTGACACCTTCAGCAGATGTTGTCTGTGTTGTAATGAGGATTATAATCTTTTTTGAATGGAATGCTGAGGTTCATGGTAGTCCCTGCCATACACCAGATTCCAAGTGAAATTTACCTGCACAGGTACAGTATACAGGAAACCATATTTAGATAGTTTGCGTGATATGGAAACTTGGGCTGAGAAATAGCAACTTGTCTGAATCTGTCCGGTGAACTCCTAGCTTGAGCTAGCTTTAGGATGAAACATGGTGCAGTCCATGCTAGGAGAATTACTGGGTGCCCCCAGGTACCTTCTCTCAGTCCTGATGGCACTTCAGGACCAGAGAGTCCTCTGAAGGATCATCAGATTCAACCCTCCTCCTTTCAAACCCATCCTGTCCCTGTGCAATAGCACTCTGTGTTTATTTCACTGTAGAGTATGTCATACATATTGCTGAAATTTCATATCAGCTTTGCTTCTGTTGGATGCTCAGGATTTTCATTTGTTGTCATCACAGGATCCATTTTGAAAATCTAAGAAATGTTCCAGTATTGATTCTTGATGTTGCCAAGGATTTTCAGAATGACACAAATGAGCAAAGGAGACTTGTGAGCATGGTAAGATAATTTCCGTTTCTGCTATAAAAGTCTGCATCTTCTTAACTTGAGTCCAGCAAGTTTTCAACTTGCCTGGCTTTTATTCCCTGGAGCTAAAGTGCTATGAGCTATCCAAACTCAAATCTCTGGATGCCTTTTCCTTTTTCACAGGTGGAGACTTTTGTAAAGAACCTCTCCTCTGAAGCTTTACCTTAGGTTCCTATTCTGTGAGCAAATGGCCCTGAGCAGCCGCACATCAAGAGGCCAAGAGAAAACCTTTCTTGACCCCAGAAGGTAAAAACCAGCTGGATACCAACGGGTCGGTGATACTCCCAGGATGTTTGGAGTTAAGACACTACTGACAAAACGTTCCAGTACCAAAATTGTTCACAGGAGCAGTTCCATTGGAATGTGTGGAGATACAAATGGTAATGGGCAGAGGGAGGCAGGGTACATTTCTGCATGGGCCAGCCCAGGTAAAAGATGGCACCCAATCCTCCATTCCGGCTTTTTATGGGCTTTATAGTGTGCTTTCGCTTGGCATGGGCCTGGATGGGTACATTGCAAGGTGAGAGCTTGGCTGCCCGTTTCATGGATTCCCCCTTCCCCCAGCACTGATTTGTAGCATCAGCAATGGTGGGGCCCCTGCTGCAGTCTGGGACCTGTGTGCTCCTCCATCAGCTCCTGCTTCTGTGTTTTCTATGAGGAAGAGCTTTATATTTTTTTAATAATATATATTTATTTTAAGAACAAAATAGTAACATAAAAGGGGTATAGAAAGAAAGACGGGTTATATAGGGATTGTGAAACAATTTATATGAAAGGTTATTATATGTACAGGATATATTAAACAAGGAAGCAAAGAAATATTTTTCCCCAACATCCCCTTCATTAGAATTTTTAAGACATTTTTGCAATAGTTTCATCATTAATGCATATTCTGCATTACATATTTCATCAATACTGCATACTAGATATTACTTTAATATACCAAAGTCGGAAGGAAAATCTATTATCTACGTCACAATAAAAAAAAGAAATACTTTGTTCAAAATCCATAAGAACATAAGAGAAGCCAATGTTGGATCAGGCCAATGGCCCATCTAGTCCAACAGTCTGTCACACAGTGGCCAAAAATACCAGATGCCATCAAGAGGTCCATCAGTGGGGCCAGGACACTAGAAGCCCTCCCACTGTTGCCCCCCCCAAGCACCAAGAATACAGTGCATCACCTGCCCCAGCCTGTGAGTTCCACTTCGCTGTACATTTATATTCAAAACTTGTTCTCCTTTTTCTGTATTACGCTACATTTGTATGCCTTACAGTGCATTTGTACACCATTTTAAAACTTTCTCAATCTAAGTTTATCTCCTGTTTGCATAATAGACCATCTCTCCTCAGATTTTGAGATAGATCTGTTTCTCAAGTAAGTTGTTAATTTTGCCATTACTGCATAATCAGCAAATTTGTTTTCCCATTCTTCTAAGCTTGGGCAGACGTCGGATTTTCATTTTGCTGCATAAATCTAGCTGCTGTTACCATATATTTAAATATCTCCTCCAAAACTTTTGGTAATTTGTTGGACAGTATTCCTAGAAACATCTTAGCTTCCATAGGAAATTTGAATTTTAATATATTCTGCATTTACATGCAATATCTTTTTGCTTTTTTACAAGTCCACCACTTATGGTAAAAAGTTCTGACTATGTCTTGACATTTCCAGCACTTTCTCAATATCCTTCAGAGTAATATGAAAAACATTTTATACCAATTTTCTCTTAGCACCTGACAGGCTCTGAACTTAAGTTCCTTTCCCCATAACCATTCCTATTGATGCATAGGTATCTGCTTTTTAAAGTTCTGCATCTATTTAATCATACTTTCTTTCACTTGTTCTTTTTCTGTTTCTAGCTGTTTGCTTCCAACGTAATAAATTATCTTTTTGTTTTGTGATCAGTTGTTTAAAATTCAGTAATCTCTCTTAGTGCTCCTAGGAGGAGGAACTTTCAATGTGCCCTCATTCCTTGCTGCCTGTTTTTACTTGGACTGGTGGCATATGGGTCTTTTTCATAAACTTCGCTTTACTCTTCTATAACTTTGTTTAACCTTCTGTGCTTTCAGTCTCCTGTGCTTCCAAGTTTCCCTAGAAATCATCCTGCAAAGTGATCCAGTCAAACAATTCTTGGTTTATGTACATCTGTACCCCCTTTTTTGTTCTCTCGAGCAGGGGTAGAGGTTAGAAGTAGACTGATGCCGAAACATTTCAGAACACCACAGAATGTTGCAGAATCAGTGTATCATTGCTTTGCATTCATGTAAATGTCTTGTGCATCCAGCAGACCAGACTAGACACATGTGGGACCTCTGTATGACTTAGATGAGTTCATGTCATATATAATTAGCCAGGTGCTTGCCAGAACCCTATGAGTTATTAACTGTATCCTACGGTATGAGCAATAGTATTTGGTCAAGTCAGGGTTTCAGATTTACCCTCTTTAGTTATGCTTGATATCTTTGGATTTCAAAGACTTCTGTAGTAGGGCTCAGTTTATTTCTGTGGGGTGTGTGTGTGGAGTTGCTGCTGCTGCAAGAGGGGTCCCCCTTTACATTTAAGGCATAAGTGGTTATGTCTCAGGAGTTCTAGCTGACTGGTTCTATACACTATTTTAACTTACAGTTTATTTAAAATAAATGGAATAGTTGTAATTTCCAGTAAACTGGACCTGTGCTGTAATTATGCATGCCACAAATCCCATTACTTAGGCAATGACCGTGTTAATTATATTGCTGTAGACACTTTACACTATGTAAAAGTAATCACAACAGATGCTTTTAAAATAAGTTGCTAAAAGACAGCATAATCTGACTATGCTCGAGAACAGATAATCAGATATTGCTTCAGATTCAAACCCGTCAGTGCACATACTCACTGTCATTTGTAATAGCATTTCTACCTGTATCTAAGGAAGTGTGCGCGCATAAAAGTTCATACCTTGAATAAAACTTTGTTGGTCTTAAAAGTGCCATGGAACTCAAACTTTGTTCTAGGTTTTCTACATGTGGACCTACAAGATTGAGCTTTCATTACTCTGTGGGAGGCTTGGCTGTGTCACATTAGTCATATCAATGAAACCATTTTTAAAAATTGCATATACTCCTCTTAAAGTACTTAAGAGGATGACTGACCTTCTTTGCCATTTCTAATTGTATAGCTTTTGTTTTGCTAGCCACCTCAAGCAGGTCTCTGGAAAGGCAGCGTGTACATTCTCTTAATAAATAAGTGATCATATTGTGACTGGTTGGCTGTCATGTTCACCTAGCACCAGGACTGGATTTAGATGAAGAGAGGCCCTAGGCTACGCCACTTCTGAGGCCCCTCCCAATCCCCCACCCTCTTGACTAGAAGAAAATGGAAGAGTGTTATAAACAAAACTGAGTGAAGCCAAGGATGATGATGGGTATTTAAAATTCTTCAATTCACAGTTTCTCCTCTAAAGGACATAAGATGTTATTGTTAAATACCATAGTGTTGAAAAACTCCTCTCTCGAGCAGTTAGTGACCATAAAGCTAAGAAATAGCCTCAAGATTGCTTCCACATTAGGAAAGGCCATCTGAATTTTTTCCTTGTATATAATTTGATAAAGGTCTGTATGAGACAGAGAGTGCTCTTCTGTAAGCTTGTGGCTTTGTCTCACATACAGGTGAAAGTGTAAAAGTTCATCAGTAAATTTCAGGTCAATATTTTCTGGATATGCTTCAATCAACAGTTCAACACCTTGCTGAATTTCTTGCTTAGATGCTGTCAGATTAGCAAGAATGGAAAAGAGTTGTGGAAAATCACTGTACACAGTACTTCTTTTTAAATTGGCTTCAAGTGCATCTAATATGGGAATAAAAGATTTTATCCTAAACTTATCTCTTGAAGAAAGTGCATCTAAGGCATCAGGTGCACTTCTGTCATTTCTTTGTTGTTCCCTTACTCTTTGTCTCCTTGTTTTGTAGTTAACATTTGGCAAGGTGGCTTTTTCTTGTTTCTCAAGCTCATCAAAATCTTCTCTAATTTTCCTTAAAAATCAAGAAGTGAAATCAAGAAGTGAACTGTACAAACTTGCACAAGAACTCAATAACAGGTCTGATTTCTGAAGGGCTTTGCTGACCTTGTGAAAATGACCTAGCACACAGGTCCAAATATGCAGCATAAACATAAATTCCAGTTCTTCCATTTTCTGCAAAAGATTGTTAGCTTGAAGCCTGGTCTCCCCCTTCTCATTAACGTCAGAGTACAAATGACTGAGGGCATCAGTGATAGCACTGTAACTTTCCAAAACAGCTTCTGTGGCTTTTGCGTGTGCGTCCCACCTAGTGTCTGACAAATATTTAGGCACTTTAGATTGAGGTGGCAAAAATGATTTTAGAACTGCCCATCTCTTTGTGGAGGATGAAAAGAAGGTATTAGTTTCATTGATAATGCCAAAACATTTCACTGCATCAAGGCAGCAATCCACAGCTGAACGGGCCACCAGATTTAAAAAGTGACCTGCGCATGGAATAAATCTTGCAAATTGGGTTTTTTTCAATGATTTTTTGCTGCATATCGTTGTACTTACCAGCCATGTTGGCAGCGTTGTCATAAGACTGCCCGTGGCATTTTCTAAAGTCAATTTCAAGCTCAGTAGTGAAATAGTGGAACACTAAATCAGTCATGCTTTCTCCTGAATGGTCTTTTAGCTCAAGGAAAGTTAAAAATCTCTCAGTTGGCAAACCATCT